TTTCAACCATTCCCAGGAGATTCAAAAGATAAAAGACCGGCGGCCATGTTGGAGGAATGAACAATAGATACTAATGAGAAATCCTTTGTTGAAGTTCATCCAAGATGGCCGCTGTGACGTATAGTGAAAACGAAGAATTTGTCTACATGTGCTTCATCGCTTACTTCACTATTATGCTGCTGAAAGGTAAACTTCATAAGATTAAGGTACTAGGACTGGCAAAATTGGGTGTCGTTTGAAAAAAAACTATTCAAACTGTATTCACTTTAGACCAAATTGAACTTGATAACGAGCTTGTATATAAAATTGTTTTTCGAAATGTTAATTTAAGAGTGCCAGATCTCACACCTAAGGTGTGAAAACAAGACAGGCATCCTGAAGAACTTTTTTTTAAAAACGTAAATATCTCTTCAGATTTTAACAACATGAGCTTAAAAACAACTTTTTTATAAACTGTTTTTGAACCTTCACAAGAATTAAAGAAGCCGGAGCGAAAGAAAAAATATTGCGGTTTTTCTGGGATTATCGGCGAAATGGGCCGTAAAATTCTAGGGATTTGATACACAGCTCCGGCTTCTTTAATTCATAATATATGATAAATGTTCTAAATCTTTACCAGATATCAAGCAAAAATATCAAACAGAACGAAAGTTATTCTATTTCGAGTGAGAAACAAGAGTAAAATTTGAATTAAATCTTAATTTAAACTGACAGAAGCGGAAATGGCGACCATTTTGTTCCTCGTGTTGTATTTCAAAACAGCTGACGACTTTGTATTGATTTGAGAACGAAAAGTGGTCGAAAAGGCCGAAAATTCATCGGAATCGAATCGTTCCTGGATTCCCGCGAAAATCTGGATAAACAAATGATGTAATCCATAGCAACACTACACTGAGCATGTGGAGTTTAAAGTGACACGAGCTCGGACGTTTTGCGGCTTAAAGATGATCACTAAAAACATTTAAAATACTCATTGTTTTGATTCTAGACTAAATTTCTAGCTGAATTATATGGAAAATGTCCACTATATTCAAAACTGGAGAATTGTGAGCAGCAAAAAGCGATCTTGTAACCGATACGAATACTCGCGTGTTCCTGCAGGTACTGAACGCTGGTACTTTGACCTCTAAAATGATCAAGCTGTGAAGCCGTTATCTCGTGTGTTTCACAGACAAAGCATCATATTTTTCCGCGAATTCATGCCTGGATACGAAGTTCTGGGTCGTTTTTCTCATAAAAATTCAATGTTTTTACGATTAAAAACATCCCTTAGTTATTATATGTATCGAAAAGAATCTAATTGACGCTAAAAAAGTTGGGTATTTTTTTGAACGCTTTGTCAGTCCTAGTACCTTAACAACAACAATAGCTCTATTCTTTTGCAAAAAAAAGTCATAATACACATAATGATCCGGGTGACACTTTTCAAGATGGCGGACGCATTGTTCTTCGGAAGTACTGATGCATGAATTAAGTAAGATCTTTTAAATGTTGTTGAAGGTTTCTTTTTTACCTTGGGAGATTTGTAAGAGAGAACTAATAAACGGCACCTTCCGTTATGAATTTACCAAAAGTCGCTTTAGTCATACATATTTAACCCAAAGGTGAACTTTCCAGAACGGTCACCTTCTGTCAAGCAACCTGTTGGTCTTTTCCCAAGGTGAATGAACTTGGACCTCCTATACTACTGCTATGCCATATGTTGCTTAATAGTAAACCAATTATACTTCTCTGTTTCTTGGAAAACGAGACAAAAGGGAACACAACTTCCGGTGCCATTTCTACCAAAGGATTATTTTTTAATTAGGAAAGTAAAATGACGGAAGATATTTTGTCGGACTTTCCATTTTTTTTCTTGCCAATGTTCATTTTATAAACCGCAATTTATACTTACAAGACAAGAAATCCGTAATAAGTATCCATAGTAATGTGTGTTTTTTTACAGATGTGAAAGATTGAATTTTATACTAAAAAAAATCCTTACCACGATTGAATCATTACAAAATCTATGAAGCGGAATTTTTTTTTCTGTTGAATGACTTTATCCTTCCCCATAGTGTTAATTCTAAAATTCCTACCGTGAATAAAGAAGATTAGGTGAAATAAATATTCCACTAATTCATCTCAGAACGCTTGAATTCAATTTGCACTATGGTATAATGACGTCACAGTATAGATGCTCAGACAGAGTTGAAATTTGGACCTATTAACATTATTTCCGAAAGTAGAACTTTAGTGTTTACACTTTAGATGTACGTAATTTAGCAATGATAGCTAACCTACATTTTATTCGATATGCAGTCGCTCTAATCCCCTCTGGTGACCATAATACAATAGTTTGGTTTGGTGTGACGTAATTATGCGATAGAACATTTTTTTCTAATAAACTGTGTCTATTCTCATTCTCAATTTTTTTTCATTTGATTTATTAATTCCATTCCAAACATATCAAAGAATTGCCCCACAAAAGTTGTCCTTTGTTTAGCAGCCATATATGGTAATCTTACCTTATACGATAGGAATGGTTTTTGTCGATTTTCTCGACGTTTAAAGCTTGAAATCGTCTGAAACTTGCAGATATTATAGCGAAAACACTTCTCAACAATCGGCCATTTTGTTTGCTTCCATATATGGCATGGATTCGCTAAAGGAAGCCCAAAACTAAAAAGCACAGGGAACCCGCACGAATGACATACAATTCTTTGATATGACATTGTCAACGAAATTCCACGACTGGTTAACGTAGTGTGATATAAAAAAATGATACATTTTTTCCACGTTGACATGACTGCTGCCACCACACAAATGTCAAGGGATTTGTGCCAAATGACCAGAGCCGCAGAGTTTCCGCAGGTATGATGACATGCACTATAGAATACTTGTAAGTATCAAAAGACCATCAACTAATGCATTTAGATCAGTGTTGTTCAGAGATTGACATTGCTCTTACTGGTTCTAGTACAAGTTTCAAAGGATACAAGGTATAAAATGTTCGCATTATACCACGAAAACCTTTAGTGATTCAATAGTATTATATTGTCTTGAATTCTGAAAATTGTCTAATCTACACTGAATTACGCCCTTTTTATCACTTTTTCACAAACGCCTTTGAGTGTCAAAAAATGTTCTGCGAGTGTTGCGGATTTAGTGCAATTTGGTGGTTTATTCTTTTGCATAATAGAAAGGAATAAGTCCATTAACTCTATCGGAACGTTTCATATTTTCTAGATGTGTTTAAAGCATTTATTTTTAATATTAGAGAGATGGAAGGTGCGAGGCTTCTTCAATTGTTGTTCTTGTTGTCACTTGCTTGCTTCGTGATGGCGAACAACGAAACGCTCCCGGTAAGAGATGAAAATGTGCACACGCTAAAAAAAAAGATTTGAGTCATAATAGTCATATTCATAGACATATTTTTTATTCTAGAGTAGACACACTAAATATGTGATTTTTTTCAACTTTATTAATAATTCATTGGGAGCAACAGTGATAGATATTTCGCTTTTTTGTGCTGTTTTGATTTTCTACAATGATATTTCGCGGATTGAAATTTCAAATTGGATAACGATGATGCTGAATATGTCCTTTTGGAGCCATCTTATGTCAAGATACAATCAAGACGTTTCCCTAAATCGAAAAGTGTTCAAGTGATTGAACATCTCCCAAAAGTCTCCTAACGCTTCTGGCCTATCAGTTCCTAACACTATCAGTTCCTGATACTTATCTCTAATGATGTTTGATTTAATTTTTATTATATTTTAGGAGTTCAAAAAGTTAAAAAAGTCCAAGAGACATAGCAAATTAGGTACTAGAATGAAAAAAATGTATTTGTGTTGTCTTGAATCGTAGTCTCACTGTTTTAGGAGGAGCCGACGGGTTCCTGGGAGAAATATAACTGTTCTTATGACCCAGCCAGCTGTGTAAGTCACAACTGGTTGCCAGCGAGAAATTCAGGAATAAAGAACTCTACGGGCAAGGAATACTTTCTAAGAATTTTTGCCAGGAAAATAAAAACTTACTAACTAAAAAACAATTGACCATAAAACGGTTATATAAGCCTTATTTGACCTTTTATTTGACGTTTTTAAAAAAACGTTTGCCAGGGACAAAATTATTTTAACGAAGGAAGGGGCGCCACATTTGCTTGTGAGATTGTCATCAATGTAGCTCAAAAATGCCTTTCCCAGGAAAAAATCGTACAAGAACAGTTATTTAGAAGAACAGACCACGTCGGCTCCTCCTGCTGTTTGATTTGTTCAGTTGCGTCCTGACATGCTATACTCTTTGATAAAAATCTACGGAATTCTTTCCCCGTTTGATCATGCTCGGTTACTGGCCAGGAAATAAGATGTCGACTCTTGGAATTTGTTTCAAATTCCGCTTTCACCAAATCTCAGTGCTTACCAGCACTTAGTAAAATATTATATACAGGATAAGTGAACAAAAGTCATTTGATCTAATCTTTGAAAAACTAAAAGATTGTTAGTGAGTATTATTCTAGCAGGAACGTTAAAAGAAAGTAATAGAAAGAAAGCGATTGTCGAATTTCAAGGATTTCAGAATCTCAATGATTTTTGCAGTTTATAAAATCAGCAAGTCTTTGTTTTTGCGGGAAAAAAGCTACTCTCGCCGTCGACTTGACTCAAAATTTCAAAGACTGCTACTAAATAAACCACAGTTTACTAGTTTTCCATCCTCTTTTCATAGGTGATTCGGAAAGCGAGTTCGACCGAAAACTCCTTGAACTCGCAGCTCATGAAGAAAATACTGAAGAATGGCGTAGGAAGTTCAAAGAAATGGTAAGAGTTCTGATTTATTGCGTGACACTGGTCAGGAGTGCACTCATGATATTCTTGATATCGATCTCACGGTGACAATGACATATCTTGGAATTTTGTAGTCCAAGGAGTTGGCTAAAAAGACGGCAAACCAGGACACCCCTGCCAAGAATGATGAACAATACAACAACCAGTCATTAAGTGAACTCCAGGACTCAGGTAATGTTTGCATCTCAAAAATATATAATTATATTCCACGACAAACTATCAAGTAATTGGTAGGACTATCAAGAATATATGTTGATTCTTTTTCCTTTTTGACTTTTTGAACATGCAGCTCCTAAAGACAAACTCATAACTGCAGTCCGAACCAAACTTACAGCATTCAGCGGACCATTGTCATCTCGTGCTAAAGATTCTTTATCAAGTTTAGATAAAAAGTGGTACCATCTCTCCGATGATAGCAAACAAGGAGCGCTAGATACATTAGGTGTCATATCCTCAAACATCGAAGTGTTTGGCAATGCTGGCGAAGACCCTGTTGGTGCAATAAGAGGAGCGATTGACATCGTTGCCTCAATAGCCAGTAACTTTGGACCAAAAGGCCAGCTTGCAAGTGTGGCTCTAGGCTTTGTCTCTGCTCTACTTGGCTTATTTGGTAAAGGACCGGAACCGAAGCCTTTGGCTCAAGTTGTCAGAGAGCAGATAGATGAGGCTCTGGCGGAATATCGCGAGGAGGARCTAGTTAGAAAAAAAGATGGYTTGATATYMGCATTTCAACWMACTAAAGCGTACCTAGACGGAGCTTCAGAGTCGGGTAAACCCTTAAGTAMAGAGGAAGTGCCTSTGGCWACAAMTGAAATGSRAAGATCACAAGGTGTGGCGTTTATGGGAGAACTTGCCAGTGAAGTACGTAAGATGTTCCGCGACAACAAAGTTTCCGATGCAAGAAAAGCCATTAGATATTGTGAGATGTACGCACAGCTAGCGGTATTCCGTGACATCATCCTGACACAGTATATTGGCATGTTACCGACCACTGAAACTTGGCAAAATCACCTMAATGGTGTAATATCCGATCGAGCTTTGTTTAGAAGATTATCAGCAGCGTTACTCGGCAAGCTCTACACAGTCGACTACGATAGCAAGATCATTCCTTATTTTGATCCAGATGTCAGCGTCATAACAGATGCTTTCTCAACAAAGATGTTGAATTTGGGTAAATACGATCGTTCTTTGGCTGGCCTGCATTGCCTTATGACCCCAGGGAGAAGTGGCCTAGAAGATCTGATATGGAAAGATGGGAAGATTAAGGATTTCAATCCTGGCGGTAATCCTTAAACTACAACTGTGAATCCAAACAACCAAAATTGTTATTGGAAGCTTGTGCCACATGGAAGTAACACGTACAGCATCATAAATACGTATAAATGCAAAGACAAGTACGACTATTGTGGCCGTTTTCTGTCATGGACAACAGTTAGTGACAAGGCCTATGTATACATCTCCTCGAATGACCCTGTCTTGTGGCAAATCGGGGGCTATGACTGGAGATAGTAAGTTATATCATATTATTATCCAACAACCACTCGACTTTTCATTGAAGAGAGGTAGAAAATGGGCGAGCTTGCAATAATGAATCCTTTTTTGACAATCCAATAAGCTATATTGTTTTGGTAATCAAGTGTAATGTAAATAGACCTTGCAGTTTTCCGGGGTTTGAGAGCAACTTGAAATATTGATATCGCATAAGTTATCTGATCATTTTTTTCATAAATTGATTATAAATACGTCTTTCTGCATGAAAAATTTATTTAAAAAGTTTTCAAACTTTTTCGTTTTATTGCAATTAGCTTAAAATTGTATGAGTTCTCAAATTTAAGTTCCTTGAACTTGTTTTTTGTGTGTGTGCTTGTGAGAAGATAAATATATTATAGATATAGATCTTCCAAAAAAGTACGTTTGTTCCGTTTGCCCTTTGTTTCAAGGGGTTATAAGGAATTTGAGTTTGTAAAGTTTCTGAAAAAATATATATCATTACTTTTGCTATTACTTTTTTTTTCTATTTTAAAGTATTCGAAACAAACAAGGCTGTGGCAAGACAAAAAGTAAATGGTGCAACCACGACCTCAGGATAGAACGCAGAACACTTATTATATTTGGTGCTCTCCATTCACCTCCGATAAAAATTACTGAAAGGGTTGGACAGCTGAAGCGTTCAGATGGCAGATACTGGTGGAAGACTAGAAGGGTACGAATCTTATATATCAAAATGTTGCGCGTGTGATGTGACGCCTTCTGTTGAGAAGAAGGTGCCTTATATCTCCAACCCTGTTTAGTAAACATGACGCAAGCGACTGTATTTTATGTGTGGCTTGTTCAAACTGAATAATATGAGTTCCATGAAGCCAGGCGTCTTTCTCTAATTTTGTACCTAGTGTTCCGATATCTTCCGATACATTTATACTGAATCTCTGTTTTTTCTTATACTTTTTTAGGCTGCATGACGGCTGTTTTCCTCCCACTGAAGATGAAGAGTAATCCTGATAATTATGGATGCTTATGATGATAATGAATACTTACCGAAAATTGAATCTTATGCATAATAAAATTTAAACCGCATTCTGTAGCTATACAAAATCTAGTTTGTTATTCTGTGATTATGAATGAAATGAGATGAGTTTGTCTTTCAAGTACCAAAATAATATCAACTTGGTAGGAATCTTTTTATGGCTAGCTGGCTCTTAAAGAGGCTATTGTCAAGCCACTTAATTAACTATCGTGCTTAGTTTGTGACTGAGTGCGTGTAAACGGCACATGTCATATTCGAAATTACGAAATTACGTCGGCATATGATAGATATTTGGTAGGCATGTCTTTTTGTGGACTAGGGAAAAACCTCGTCAAAGCAGGAAATGTTAATGGATTTTTTTTTATTTATTTTATTATTGTTTTTTACAGTCGAACCTATATTAAGCAGCCTTCTGATTATCGATCACTTTCCATGTTATGCAGTCACTCAAACGTTGCTTTTTATAAATTATTAATCAAGAGGTGAACCCTCTAAAACGGCCACCTTCTGTCGAGGCACCAACTGGTCTTACAGGTGAAAGGTCTATTCAAATAGAAGTTCGAATGAATTCGAGCCTTTTATACTACTATTTTAAAACATATGCTGTTTAATACTAAAGCAATTAGAACTCTCTATTTCATGGGAAAAGAGACAAACAAGCATACAACTTCCGGTCAAATTCGTCAAAATTTTTTATTAAATTAGGATAGTTAAATAACGGAAGTTATTTTCGTCGAACCTCTCCATTATTTCTCGTGGCAGTATTTATTATAACCTGCAATTTATATCTATAATACAACATACTTATATTTGGAGTTTCCGTATTAATATTTTTTCCACATGTGAAAGTTAAGACTTTGAAGTTGATAATATAAAAATCCTTATCACGTGGATTTACAAAGCTTTTGGAGCGGAAACATTTTTTCTACGGGAAATGACTTTATAATATCCTTCCCGTCGTGTTAAGTCCTTAGTAAAAAATCCAGTGAAATAGATAATCCACTAATTCACGTTACTTCCTTCGATTTCAATTGCTTGCTTTTGTGTACGTCTATTACTATCCAACTTTAATGATAAAACGTAACTTTTGTGTCGTGGCTTGAAGCAATTATAAAATATGGTTGAATAAAATTGTGCAATTTGATTGGCTTAGCAGGAGTGGTATTTATCCTTAATAGTGGCATTTCAAGCAGCACAATTTTATTCAACCATTTTATTTAAGAAATATAAAACGGCGCGCTTGTCTCTGTCCTCTGATATAAACACAAGAGAAGCAAGATTACGATCGTAGCGAGTGTTTCTCTTGCTTCTCGAGTGTTTTTCAACTCCAACCGTGTTTATATCAGAGGCAACTAGTTTTTTATTCTCATCATTAGAGCTCTTTAAAAAGCGGTTTTGATCACTTTCCATAGCTTTTTTTGTGTGTCAAAAAACAAATCTCAAAACTTACGCGGACAAATATCACCTTCGGACGGGCGATATCGCCTGATAGCCGTCCGCCGAAAATGTACCACGTGACGCCTTTGGACCAATGGATGCGCGTGAAAATATATTGTTGGGATATAAAAAACTACGTATATCATTCAGTATACAACTGTCTTTTAGAGACTATGAAAGAAAACAGAGAATGATACTCTTCGTCTACGTCTTTGATAGAATTATCGAGATGTTTATATTTATATAGTTTGACATTTTTATTTGTGACTTTTTATACATCATGCAGCTTCTAAAGATAAACTCCTGAAAGGAGTCCGAACCAAACTTACACCATTCAATAGTTCATTGGCATCTACTGCTAAAACTTCATTATCAAGTTTAGATAAAAATGGTACAGTCTCTCCGATGATAGCAAGCAAGGAGCCCTAGATACATTAGGTGTCATATCCTCGAACATCGAGGTGTTTGGCAATGCTGGCGAAGACCCTGTAGGTGCAATAAGAGGAGGGATTAACATCGTTGACTCCATATCCAGTAACTTTGGACCAAAAGGCCAGCTTGCAAGTGTGGCTCTAGGCTTTGTCTCTGCTCTACTTGGCTTATTTGGTAAAGGACCGAAACCGAAGCCTTTGAGTGAAGTTGTCAGAGAGCTGATAGATCAGGTTCTGGAGCAATATCGCGAAGAGGAGCTAGTTAGAACAAAAAATGGTCTGGTATATGCATATCGACTCACTAAAGCGTACTTAAACGGAGCTGCAAGGTCGGGTGAACCCTTTAATGATAAAGAAGTAGCTGTGGCAGTGCAAAAAGTGGAACGATCAAATGGTGTAGAATTTATGGGACAGCTCGCCAGTTTAATAAGAAAGTTGGTCCGCGAGAACGGTGATGCAAGCAAAGCCATTAGATATTGTGAGATGTACGCACAGCTGTCTTTATACCGTGATATGATCCTAACACAGTTCATTGCAATGTTACCAGTCAAAGGCTTTGAACAACACCTAACCGGGCAGATGGCTGAACGAGCTGCCCATAGACATATGGTACGATTGTATCTCGGCAATCTTTACGAAATCAACTACGATAGTGCGATCATTCTCTATTTTGATCCAGAGGTCAGCGTCATAACGGACACTTACTCGACTAAGTTGTTGGATTTGGGTAAATACGATCGTTCAATGGCAGGCCTGCGTTGCCTTGAGATTTTTTTTTATAGCGACCAGATTCAACAGGTAACTTATGACCTGAGAGTCTTAATTTTGTCACTGAATGCATGGCGAAGCCTTCATTACTTACATTTTCGGGATAATTTTCAAACTTTCTGTTTATTTTGCAATAGGGCGGTACGAATAGGATATGAATTGGTGATGTCCTTATAAAAGTACTAAATTATTTCAAATAGAATTAAACTTGATAATTATTCTTTCTATTTCAAAGTATCCGAAACAAGCAGGGCTGTGGTAAGAGGAAAATTAAATTTTGTAACTACCACATAAGGATGGCAATCAGAGAAGTTAAAGTTACAAGATTTTCCCGATTTGGCTCGTATACGACTACGAAAAAGAAAAAAGTTGGACAGCTACTTCCTTCAGATGGAAAATACTACTCGACGACTAGAAGGGTAAGAAACTAAGATTTTACAATTTTGAGGGAAGGTGATGTGTCGCCTTCGGATGCATAAGTTTCCGTTCAGTGTACGCCATAATCTATGAACAAAAAAGGCTCCTAAGGGTGGGTCCCATTAGTGGAGATCTGGGATTTTACATAATAATTTCCCTACATATCGCTATTGGAGTTTTTTTCTACTTTTGTACCTAATGCAGATATACAACTAAATAGGTTTTCATATAAGATAAAGAGCTCGAGATGAAATTGTAAACTTCAACCAATACATTTTCCTAGTGAATTGTTTTTTTCTTTTCTCTTATAAATTTTAGCCATGAGGATTGACAAGGCTTCCTACAGAATGATGAATACTTAGCAATCAACAAAATAAAAGATGCTTATGATAGGGCAAACGCAGGAAAACCATGAAATATATTTAAACTAAATACTAAAAAGATAGCGGCTATTTATTTAGTATTTAGTTTGATTTTATTTCATGGCATTCCTGCTTTTGCTCTAATCGTGATAAAATGATAATGAATGTTAAAGAATATTGTATATTATGCTTAATAAAATTCAAACATTCTGTAACATTTCAACCTCGATTTTGTTATTCTTTGAACTTAGAACGCTTTATATTATCAGGTCCGCCCATGGCTCGTATAGTATCGGGTTATCATATTCCTCCTTTCTCCATTGTCATGACCATGATATTTCGCTTAAATGGACA